AAGAGAGATCCTGGCCCTCTTCCCCATGGCCTCTGATGAAGGTAGCACCTTGCTCATTATTGGCTATAAAGTCGTGCCATATTAAATCTTGAAAGACAGGAGATAGATACATGGGCACTTCTTTCTAGGCACTTGGGCATTTCTTCTCTTTTCTCCCCTAGAGACAGAAAATGAATTGGTTAAAAAAAAAAAAAAAGAACAAGCATTAAAGTCAGAGAAAAATTTAAGCAATAGTCAGTGAACTCAATATAGTGAGATGAAGGGTTTCCAGGTAAAGAAACCAAAGAACAATTTTAATACTCTACATGCTTTCAAAAGGAGACTGTTTGCTTTTTGCATCCCTCCATGGATCACATAGGTTGCAACCAATGTTTGCCTGGTTTTATTCCATAATCATAGCCAAATTCCTAAGCATGTAGTTTGGTCTTGAAAAAGGTGTCTTGGTTGCTTGCGGGTTGTGCTGACATTCTGACCTGACAATGAGCGCTATTTTAGTTGGGCTAATAAACCATTTTAATTGGGTCCATTGTTCAGTACGAATGGTGGGTCTTCTTTGCTTGATGTCTAGAGGAGAGCCCGCCAACCGACTGCTTCTTTACTGGGTGTCAGGCTTAAAAGGACAGACGTTAGCCTGGGTGAATGTTAGCCATTTAGACTCATGCTCTGGGGCTGTGCAGTATCCTCCCATCCTGAAGAAGAAAAAACTGGGACTCAAATAGGTGAACTTAGCCAAGGTCACATGGCTCAGAAAGACAGAAGAGCTAAAACTTAATTCAAAACTATCAACTTTGGTCAGGATGATCTGTATCTGGAACTGAAAGAAAGCTGTTGGGTGATCTTAAAAGTGGGAGTTAGGGGACAGACAGATGCTTACAACAGCAATAAGAAGGACATTCGTGTGAGAAGGTAAAACCCGGGCCTGAGCATCTGAGTTGAGCTCAGTTGTGTCCACTGGAGGTCTTCTGGTTTCAGGTGTGCAGGGCCACTCTATTAGACAGGAGTTCCATTGCACATGCTTCAGTTGTATTTTTTTTTCCTTGGTAAGATCTGGGTGGAATGGGGGCCATGAAGTCCCTGGCCCTGTTAACTTAAGGGGATGGATTAGCAGACTCAGGGCCAGGGATTGACAGTGTAAGGAGGGCTCGCCACCAGCAGCCACAGAACCCTTGCTCTGCACCTCTTGGGACAGCTGCCTCTGGATCATCTGTGACCCTGCTGATATTCAGAAGCAGACAGGGAAACTGGTCCACGTATTCAGCAGGACCAACCCTGAGCACGTTTGTGAATCAATCAGCTTGTGACTTTTGGTCCTTATCTCTGCTTTCAACTACTTGAGTAACCCTCACCCCCACTCAATTCTGTGACCCAAGAGCCTGGATGTAAAGCTATGGTGGGTTCCATCTCACAGCTGCGTTTTTACTGGAATAAAGGGACCCTGGAGAGAACCCAAGGTTTCTATACCTGTGGAGGGAGAAGGGGGCATGATAGTGTGATCAGTGAGGGGACAGGAGAATCTGTCCAACATTCTTAACTCTAGTGGCCGGTGAAGGTTACCCACTGGGCTCTTTGTAAACCAATCCCTGGGTACATGTCAATGCAGAGGCTCCTCAGCGACGAATCCTAAGAGCCCACAGTGAGAGTCTTGGAGCCCAGAAGTCCAGCAGGGCAGGGAGCTGGACCCCTGCGAACGGAGCCGTTCTGGAGGCAGCTGCGCCTGAGGCTCTCGCTGTTGGCATCTCGACTCTTTGGTACTTTTTGCCCAGACGGGAGCTGGGGTGGCAGGAGTGAAAGGAAGAAACCCAAAGTTCCTGTTGGAAAACCCAAGCCAGGAATGTCTTCAGGTCCCTTGGGGAGAGCTAACTGAGGACAAGGCTTTTTAGGATCCCAGTTTAGGTCAAGGACCCCCCCACACAAATCCTTCCTCTGAACCACATCCACAAATACCCATGAGGGTTAGTTACCAGGTCCAGAGCACAGGTTCTGCGCTCAGGTCGAGGGGTGGGGATCTGAGCTCCAGCTGGGCTGTTTATCAGCAGTTCAACTTTGGGCAAGTTGTTCTCTCTGGACTCAGTTTCTTTACTCATATGATGGGAATGCAGTGCCCCGCTTTGGGGCTATCTAGGGAATAATATGATATGTGTGGTTATACCTAGTAACAGTTTCACTACTTCTTCCATTTTCTGCTCTTACCCTCCCCTTCCCCAAATTCCAAGGTGTCAAGATTCAGGGGGAGGTCCTGTGAAACACCACTGGGATGAGTCTCTACTTCAGAGGCCACCAGAGATTGTGACTTGCACGGAGGACTCAACAGAAGTCCCCACTGGCATTCCTACTTTATTTCTGAACCCGCAGGCAAATTGAAGCCATCCTAATTGAGAGAGCGGGTGTAGGAATTTTGAAATACGTTCAAAGAGATGAAGCTGCCAATACCCCTTCCCTGACACGGAGACAGAAATGAGCTAGGAGGCGAGGGCAGGGAGCCAGGTTAGCTCAGAATCACTCTTCCCTGTTGTTGCCAGGGCCACTGGCACCCAAAGCCCGAGAGGTGCCGGTGCCCTCGGCTTTCCATCGTCTGAGGCTGCAGGACACCCTGTGGTGGCCTCGGGGTGAAGAGCTCCCTTTTCACACTCATGCAGGAAGCTGGGGCTCCTCAGGGCCCCTTTCTGAATTCTTGTGCTTCCCCCACGGTGGTGGGCAGTTGGGGAGTGGTGGGCAGCTGGGGAGCTCCGCAGAGCCCTTGCCTTTGCAGGTCTCGGGTCTTTTCATCCTCTGTCCACTGCCCGCCCCACCTCCCCCGCAACCTTCCCTCCTTTGTGCAAATCTGTTTTCACTGCAGGAGTGCATGCTGCCTCTTCCAGCTACAACACTGCTTGCTAATTCAACGATTCATCTTTAATGAGGCCCCCTGCCAATGTTTAAATAGCATTCAGAACAAAGAGGAGGCAGTGTTTCCCAACAGCTGCTTCTGCTGCGTCCTCAGAGCTCATCTCTCCAGAAAATCAAGAAAAATGTATGGGTGGAGGTCCACGATGGGAAAACCCACGGTTCTCCTAGACGGGGATGCTGTATCTCCATCTGTAGGTGGATCGAGAGGGAGAGGACACTGCCTGGGTTTCGCCAGGGATGGCAGATGGGGGCGTCCTGATGTTTTGTTGGCGTCCGGAAGGGCTAGTCTAGGGAGCGTTCTCTTATGGGGTTTGGGTTTCATTTCAGAAATGTTTGGGAAATCCAGGGGGCAGAGGACAGAGG